ATATATATATATATATATATTTAAAGATTTATAGTGAGTGATCATTATTGCTGATGCCATTATAATGCAAGAGCTAAATAAATACCACTTGTTGGTAGAGGCCAGATGGAAGTTCCACTTTCAGCCTCATGTGAGCCGTTTGTTGTGTAATTAAAGTTTTTAGACTGCATCAGAATCATAAACTCTGCCATTTGGCTGAAAAGCAGGGGTTTTATAATACTATTGGTTTAATCATGAATAGGATCGGATGGGTCGGTTCGACTTGTTTAACCGTGGACCTATCATTCAATAAGTTCGGTCTAAGTTCAGAACTGTTTTTGCATAGGTACCTAAATTGTTTTTTTTTAAATTTAAATAAATAATGTAGAAAAAAATAAAATAAAACAGAGTTTTAATTTCATCAGACTCTTAGTAATGTGATGTCTAAGTCATAACTTCTATATAGTTATCAACTAGAAGTCTAATTTGACTGAGTGTTCATTTGTATGTAAATGTCATTTTCACTCTTTCACTGGACAATAACTATTATTACATTTGTCCACTTGTCAGGAGCGAATATGTAAAAAAAATGTCCTTTTTTTCTAAAATGATTAGGGGAAAGTGAAATATTATTTTATTCATATTTCTTTCCCAAACACAAGTGGGAAAAATTATTATATCTGGACATAGAGATACGTTTGGAGTTTAATGAATTATCTCCACGTGGAGCTGACTGGAAAAAAAAAAAAAAGTTTTATTGTGGTCCGGTTCGATAACACAGGGGAATATTTCTTTCGTGTTATTCCTCGTTATTCATGTGTTATTGTGATGGTATTGATGTGTTATTGTGTTATTATAATACTAAGATTATTCCCAGAACACAATGATACATGAATGTCATCACAATAATACCTGAATAACACGGAATAACATGGGGGCTAAAATGATTTTTTTTTTCTATCACTTGCACGTGACTTGATTTCATTGGACTCTGGACGTATCTCTAGATCTGAAGTCCGAACGTATCTCTACGTCCGAAGTTTGAACGTAATATTTGTTCCAAGTGTGGACTCATTGGCTGCTTGAATTTAGAAATCATATTTTGAGAATTAATAAAATTGGTTAGAATATTGAATTTAGAAATCATGTCCGTTAAATTATTATTTCATTTAAATAATAAAAATAAATATATTCTAAAATTTAATTTGAAAAAAATCATTTATCTCATGTGGTTGAAGTTATAAATCAGGTTCTGAGATAAATAATGTAATTTGTCAATTAAGTAAAGAAGTTGGTGGTAATTAGAGATTAAAAAAATCTTCTAGAAGCTCCTTAATTCCAAGCACAAAGTATCCAACATGACTTGGTTTCATTTGATCGTATCTTCTACAAATTCCTTAAAAATAAACAATTTGTCTTCGTGGTAAGAAAAATTATATATATATATA